TGAGGCATTCCCATAAACCAGATCAAGTGTCATACAATATAAGGACTTAACGAACACAATAGAGACTGAAAATATGCGCACGGAGAGTTCGACACCTTTATCTACTTACCGATCTTGATTCTGTTCAAATACTCCTGAGATTTCGACGTAATAACTGCAGCTCGATTTGTATTATAGTGTATTATCATGTGTTTTTTATATCCGTACGTAAGTTTTCGAAATCGAGGCACAAGGGGCATAGATTCTGAGACAACGACCCTTCTCCTAAAGAGGCTATCATAGAAGGCAAGCTGGCTGAATCGATAAACGCAACAACTATATCAGTCGATAGCTACCATAATAGTTTCACAGCATACAGTTTTTAAGGGCATTCTGCGGTCGTTAGGCTCCTTTTTCCTAAGATCGGTTTTTGCAGGATACGTTAAGTAACCTTAGTATCATTACAAGTAGCTGAATAGGATTCAATCGACTAGTATCCGATACGAACATGTCGATAGACGTCAACAGCTATAAGCCGGGGATTATCGTCAACGCAGAGCCTCACTAATCAACCTTGTGCATGGTATAGAAGCATTGTGACAAACCAGCATCACTGTATCTTCCCTCTTCCTTATGGAAAGAGTAACTTGGCCGAGTGACTGCATGGCTTCTACTTAACCCGAGAGAATAATCTAACAGAAAAGCCTGTTTGAAAAGAACTGGCCTAAAGGATTGAAAGTGGGCCGTGAAACATATGGCGTTAGCACGTTAGCATCGCATGATAACGAGGAAGTACGACGTAGACAACATTTATGTTGTCGCTGTAGTCCGTTTCTTGAATAGGTTTGTGTTGTCCAAGCGAATCAGCGTTCGTGTCCAGTAGTAGAAAAAATAGGTTTAGCATGTCTATGACAATAGAATTTTATGAAGAACAGGTTTAAAACAACAAATAACCAAAAACGGATGGATGCATACTATATGTAGCAACTCTTGAACGTAATCAGCACAGTTACTTTGAAAGAACAGAAATAATATAGTTGTACGGGTGCAAATATGTTATGAATTATAAATAAGGTAAGTCATATTATTTGGGAAAACAGACCACCAAGAGAAGAACTTCAAGACAAGTTTGAACTTACCCAAGCAAACATTCATGCCAGCGAGTATAGCGGATTTTGCTAGCAAGTCGTGCGATTTAGAATATGTAACAATATCATCATGTCTGTTAGGGGACGCTCCTCCCTCCAAGCACACCTCCCCCCAAAACTGATTTGAAATGTTTAGATATACGACTACGAGACTATGTTTTGTAACGTAGCAAACGATGAGAAAAGATCACGTCCGTGGAACGGCTCCACGGAAGTATCCCATCTCGATTCCAATTTCACTTACATATAGCATTTTAAATATTTGATTGCGTGAATTGGCTTCCCTACAACCACTTGCGAACGGTTCGTTCACGTAGATGGCTACTCACAACTACTGCGATTTAACTCTTCTGTTTTCGTTTTGTACGTAAACATAAACACCATGCTAAACGGCGTGAACTTGCTCGATGGCGTGACGAACTATTGTCACAAACGTCAATGCAAACAAGTCCCAAGACCTCCGGGGCACTTTCGTGTGGGGGTCCGATAGGAGCCGGGACAGTTTGGGAGCACATGCTGTTGCGGCTGAAGCAAAGGCAAGTCGACCAGGCCTGGAGCTGCCGAATTCTTGTGTAAGAGTCAAAAGTTTCCGCTAGGGCTGCCGTTTCAACCTTATCTACGGATGGTAGTAAAAATGATTGGGGGTGATGAATAGGATGTCGTTGATAGTTCAAATGGTCGACCAATGCCAACTTAAACGGAAAAGTTGCGGGAACTATTTGGATATAGGAGTACTCGCGAAGCAAACGGAGCGACGTTAAGGGGATAAAACCCCCCACAGGACTTGAGGAAACTGGCCGTAGGTTGTTCTTCAGCTCGCCCTTCCTCTGCTAGTTGCAATTACCAGCACTGCTAATGCTGTTAAGGAAGTAGGATCTCATGGGTCTGGGTCTGAGAAATTTTAGGGGCAGCGATGTACTCTCGTTCTGCTAGAGAAGCACGGTAGTGTAGAGGTCTCGTCATTATCGGCGTCGTTGTTGCCGCCGCCGTCAGTCGTCTGTGCGAGGACACGTGTATTTAAGTCCGTTCTTGTGGTTCTGTGTGTAATAACCGTAAAGGTACATGCGAATCTGGGTATGCGAGTGCATGTATCGAAGAGGCGGTTGGGTTCAGAAGCACGGGAAAGCAAGTCTGACAGACAGGCGGTCCGCTGGCTGCGCTGAGGGCTCTGCAAGAGCCAAGTGAGTGGGTGTGATGCAGGTTATTTGGTTTTTCGCAGAGCGCTCCTGTATTTCTCTTTACATTCGCCCTGCCTACCCACCCATCTAGCTGCCTACGTACCGCCCATTGCTCGTATTGCTGGCCAAAGTGGGCAACCGTAGATCCGGTGCCCGTCAAACTGTTCCGCCTTGTGAGTCTTCTTTTGGTTCCTTGATTCGCTGGGCCACTTTTCGACGACCCATTCGCCCCTGGCAGCTTCTAGCTGCTAAACCCAGTGAAGGAAGGCTGCTACAGGCGCGCCGTTCTCCGACACAACGAAAGCACACGACGAAAATTGTGAGAAAGCAGCACTATTTTCTTATACTGTTAGATAGTAAAGCGACAAACTGATTATGACTCTTTTCTTTTTCGGATATTCTATCGACTTGTAAAGTAACCAATTTTGTAGGTACTATACACTAAAACGGTAAAAAAGTTTGTTTACCGTTAAGAGGCGTTAAGTATGTATAAATAATAGTAGTCCATGGAAAACATTATATATGCATGTGTTATCCGTGCAGCTGCGCATCCGTATATTGAAGAAGCTCATGCGTTGTAAAAAGCACCACGTCACGTAAACCCATCATTCGAACAACAATATCACACTACTGGTATGTAATTCTAAGTCTGCGGCGTTAATGTGTTCGTAAGCAGTGGAATTGTAAGAATGTTAATTAGGAGACGAGCGAGAAGCTGCCTGTCCTCACTAGAGACTATCTCAAGAAAAATTGACTTCGTTGTAGCTTTAGTATTGAAAAACACTTCGTTGCAAACCTTACCTGCGGAAAAGGCTGGGTTCAATTAGATTGGACATGGGCCGGTGGGTTGGAGATATCAATTCGACAGTTAGGACGTGGAAAAAAAAAGCATATGACCTATTTCGCTAAACATTAGATTGATGTTTCTTGAAAATTCAGTTTACTGTAACTTTAATGCTAACTTAATCCATTAAACCCTATGAACCATAAGAATGCTACATATTGTCCACCACTTCAAAAAGCTCAAAGTTCACAGCTTTTCATAACTCAGCTGTGACAATTAGCGACGCTGTTCATCGCTGTCGCACGATTGGTTCTTTTTAAAGTGGACTGATGCTTAAATAAATGCTTTCGGCTTTACGTCTGGAACTTCCGTTCAGGTGACTGTTCCTCTGAACAAAATTAAGTGTCTCTATCCGCTCTCGGGCCTTGTTTTAGTTGGTTAAGTGCTAATGCATTATGCAGATGAGATTTCATTGCTAAAATATTCGTCTGTTACTGTTTAACTTCCATGGATGAGTCTTCGTTAGAAACTAAGTCTAATAGTATTTCAAACCAAGGATTGCCTCATGAGTTCGTTAGTGGCGTTCCATTCCATCCTCCTGCAGCACGCACTGAGTTCCGCACGGAGTCCCCTCCTTCGCTCGACCAAGTTAGCCGACATTGTCGCAATTGTCCTATATGCTCGCTGATTTCCACCTCAGATCATAATTAAGTTGCGTGAACAAACACGTTGCCGGTGAATTATCACGGAAGTAGCGAATTCGTTGATGTTTATCGCGATAATTAACAAACTAAGCACGCTAGCGCTAGGAAACAATCCAAAAGGGGTTCCTACGAATAGCTGGCTTGATCAATCTGGTTTGCCGTATCGCTCTGTCCTACTTGTTTTCCGATATTGTAAGGTATCTAGAATAACACATTCTCGTGCTACGTGTCTGTAACCCAGCTCAATTCCTCGTGACGTGATTAGCGTTTTTGAGAAAATTCTCTAGGAGGTGACAAAGAACCGCCTATGAGAAAGGCCGCCCCCGTAACACGAAATACGGTCGTTCCGGAACGTTAGCGCCTATTTCTAGTCTTACAGCGGCTCTTCTAAACTCTCCCGTTATTGATGCTTGTGGCGTGTCGTGTAGTGTTCTACCGCCTCTAGAAGTGAAGCTGTTAGTTTCACGGATGGTCGAATCCTGCTTAGCCATTTCTTTCGGGAGACTAAAGTAACAAGCAGCAAAAAGGGGATGGGTCATCTTCTTTACTCCGCCTAGTTCTTTGAAAGTAATAAATATGTAGAACTTTACGTATGGCCACCGTGGCCAGAAAGCTGCTGCCGTGGCTGCCGCCATTATTCTAACCATCGGCCATCAGCCCCAGTAGCAACACCAGCAGCTCCGCTATTTTTACAATTAAAAAACGATGAGATGATTCCACTGAGAACGGTTAGATAAGTCTGTAGGAAAACCAGGAGTGCTCCAAGCCAAGTCGGGGCAGTGCAAATACGTTAGGTAAAGAGCTAGTTAGACAGGTGACGGGTTGCGTTAAAGGCATTGTAGGGACTGAAGATCATGTATTTCAGCGTTTTTGGATCTTCCTACATCTTTGGACTGAGGCACACAACCGATTTTAGTATATAGCATAGAAATCGAGGGTACCAGTGATCATAGTTGTTTGTGTGTGTGTGTGTGTTAATATCACTACTTTTTCTAGAACATAGATTAGCACAATTAATTAAGGATGCAAAATAGGCCTCATTAGTATCGATGTTGTGGTTTGATGGTAGACTAGTGGTATAAGTTATATCGCGCGACAAATTGAAGCGTAAACAAAACTCTATACTGCTATATTGTAGTAAAGACTTAATAGATCGCAATCGTTTGTTTGTAAGAGCCTGCGGTAAAAGCAACCTTTTTCGTTACGATGTACGAAGAACGAGTATCTTAATAATAGCGCATAACGTTGAGCGATTCTACGAAGACGGCATTCAACTCCGTAAGGTTGAAATAAGTAATTCTAAACGGCTAAGATGATAATCCGGAAGTCAAATACGAATCTAAAAAAGAAAGATCCCACTTCGCGATTCATCTAGCAACCGATGCCTTGAAGTACGGTAGGGCTTAACTGCCTCTCGATATCATCAGCCAGTAGCTAGTTACCTGCAAACAAACGGTAGCATTTCTGTACAAAGATTAATTTAGGCAGTAAGACATTTGTCATGTCGATGTCGATGCAAGATAAAGGATCGAAGACCAACTGCGATGTGGAACTTTGAGGATACGCTCGTCTAGGCATGCTTCCGTAATGGTGTAACAGAGATTTGTTTCGCTACCAAACTTAAAGTCACTTAAAAAGGTGATCTAGGCTTGAGATCTGGTCTAAAGCAATTGGGAAACACCTATTAAGGTTCGAGCGAGGGACAAACACAGTTCGCTTCGTGAGGGGAGTCATATAGTTGAAGCAGCGATCTTCTACTGAGAGTATTTACCTTAGGACTATTATGAATGTTCGCAGATACTTCACATTTACTTTTAAATTACGGTTTTGTAATTACCTGAGCTGAATATTCGCTTGGAAATGCCATGCCTACCAAAATTACATTCTGATCAAATGGCTCGCAGTCCCACGACACTTAACGCACTTCACGAGCCATCTTCCGCCTAGCCCCAATTGCACCATTGGATCACATATTGTGTACAAAAGTTTTCGTCCTCGTTCCCGTGTAATCCTTACACACAATATCTAGCGGAGGGTAGCAAAACGGTCCGAAATAGAAGAAAGAACGCAGCACGAACAGTGGCTAAACAGAGCGAACAGCCAGCTTTAGCGAGTCCTTTGCAGTCACTCGCCGTCCAAGGGTGCTTCAGGCCCAGTCCACTTAAAGAAGCGCTTTTCTTTGTTATTCTCATGGAGATGCAGGAGTCAGCACGGAATAGTAGATTAAGTTGAATCTCTTGGATAGCATCAGTAGTTCGCACAGGCGCAGCAAAGAGTGAGGCAACCGCCTATGGAGAGCGAGTAAGTGGCGGTGGGAGAAAAATATATATGCGGCCATCGGGGGCGGATAAGCGTCCTACTCGGGTAGGGCTGAGGCGAGGCCGCACACGAAGGCATCGTCACGAGTGCTCCAGTCTTTTGCTCTTCGTTTACGTCCTTGACTAAAAACGCCAACGTGTATCACAGTGGTGTGACGTCGCAGACAAGGTTGTTATATGGCTGTCAGTAAGAAGCTCTCTGTATTTAGATCTGAATGCTGACATAGGTACAGAGTAGGAGATATGGAAATGCGTTGAAGGCCTTTGATGCTTGACTCAGCAGATTTGCCAGAATCAAATTTTGCAAAACGCACGAGAGGCCGGAATAAAAGCTAAACATTTTGCTACTTCGTTGGAAAATTTACTGCGACTGTAAAGGAAGTCGCTAAATGTACACCTGCATTATCGAGTGTTATACCGTGAAGTTAAAATTAATACATTTGTAATACACTCCAATAATGGGTCCTGATACATTGTCGAACCAATGTGAAATGTGTAGGAATGGGTTACTAATAGGAGAAGTATTTGCCATAGATTGACAGTACTTAGTCACAAAGCCAAAACTTCCTTGAAGATTTACATTGCCCCACAGAACAGTCACGATCTGTCTTATACGGTTACTACCTACCTATAAGAGTACCTCTCGTGGTCTACGTTTCATTATGAAGTCGCATTATAATTTTGTAAAAAACACATCAGTAGTAATGTTTTGATGTGCGACTGCTAAACGTTATACAAATATCAATGTTTGTCATTACCTATATCAGCTTCAAAAACGAATTCCTCTGGATTGAATTTTTAGATAGTGACGGAAATACCATACTATTAGGCGATATATCTTTAAATATAACAATGGAAGGCGTAGTTATCGCAGGGTGCAACATTACGAGCATCCATAGGCGGCATTTGATATTCGATCACCATTAGCGCGCTCGCAACGTTACTCAAATAACAATCACTTTCGGATCACACATAACTCCAATTAGTTGAAAGAATATTGAAACTTTTTCGAAACTTCCCCCGACCAACTTTCAACTTACCTGAACAGAATTAATTTGGCTTCTCCTCGTTTGTTCGCTCTATCGGGAAACGTAGGCCGGGCGCTTCTTCGTGCACTGATTGCAATTAGGTGTCGTAGAGCAGAAGGCGTTCAAGAACGGACCAACCTGTCCCGTTGAAAAATTACGATCTTACGAATGCTGGACCTAGATTAATGCCACTTATCGAGCGTGTCGACAATTACCAAAGAGCGCTGGAGTTCGGCTAAAGTGACGATACCAGCTACTATGGGTCTATTCTCATCTGATCAGAGTTATTATTAAGGAGCCTTTAACTCATCAAGGTGTCACCTTGCACCAGGGCTACTAATTGAATAACGTTAAAGACAAAAAAAAATTGCCAGTTACCTTTAAAGCTGGATTCAGACCAGCCCTACCCAGTAGCTTCAGTGTTCATGGAACCAAAGATATGTAGGCTAATGAAAGCCATCGTCTGCTCCGCTTGTCGTCAACCAAAGTTTCTCTTGAGAACAGGCGCCCAGTCTAGAACCGAAACAATAGTTTAGACTGTGTGCGATTTGGCATCTACTTGGGTCAAACTTGGACGGCCGCTAAAGATGGAACTCTTTCATAAGGGGCGTGAGAGGAGGGGGAGAGGGGCAAGGAAGGGAGAACTCATCGCTTATCTGGTAGAGTTTATGCGTAAACGGTCCGTGTTCCTTTTGCCCCTCAACGGCCCACTTACACTGCACTTAACAGAGGGCCCTTGTTCTATTACGTACTATACATGCTAGAGTGTTAATTGGACGTAATAGCACACGCCGGTGGAACGAGAAGGCTGGGGAGGGAAAAGCGCATAAAGCGCAGTAAAAGTGAGAACATAATGTATAATACGTATGTCGCCAAACAATATAGGACCCGTTTGAAAAGTTTCGCATGGAGGAGAAATGCTTGGTTGAGCGCGGCTAGCGGCAGCTTGTGTGTGTGTGGTACTTTATGTGACATGGTACTTTATTCACCTATGAAAGAATCAAGTTTACCATTGTGCTAAAAAAAAGCTTATGTCACAGATTTCCTTTTAGTTACTAGCCATTATTTCAGAACTGTCGACTAAACCTAAATCCTTTGGTAGTTGTGGAAATAAGAACGAAACTGCATCCGAGGAAGTTTTTATATCCATATGTCCAGGTTGTACATGAGGTCAACACTGACTTGTCAATTAGTGGGCGTATAACAATTGTAGTTTTTGAAGGTATTGCTGCTTCGAATCGGAAGACTTTATCATCTTGGCCGCTCAAAACAACTTTCACAGTATGCAAACACAGCCTAGTCAAAAAGGGGTAGTTAAAGGAGAACTGTCCTCATACATGGTGGTATATGAAGAGTTTTATTAACGCTGCTCTCATTTCTACGTCGAAGTGGCCCGAAATAAGGCAACGTTCTAAGGCCACTATCGGATTCTAACATAGATGGTGCAGTGCTATTACAAGTGATGGTAGTTGCATTACTTCTAAGTAGCGTTGCATGTTCTTCTTGTCTATGTAAAAAGTTAACTTCAGAGAGTCTGTCGTGAGAAAAGTAGTCCATACGATGTTCTACAGAAGCTGCAGTAAATGGACAAGCATTACAAGAGTAGTACAATTATGAAATGGCAAGAAAAGACTCTTTTAGAAATTAAACATCTCTAAAAAAGTATTTATGTAAAAATAGTAGACGCCCATCTTGATGGTCTTGAGACTTAAGCTAGCGTCGGCGGAAGGTTTATAGCGACATGGCTAATATAAGATAGTTACCTACACGAGAAAAAGGAACCAGGTGTCTTAGGTTATGATATTGCTTGAAGGCGCTTATTTGTTGCTTAAACACGCGACATTTTCCACTAATGAGAAAAAAACTTCAAACGATAAGACCAAACAGTACATTTGCATTAGAAACAATTTTTCAGAGAAGATGACTGATGATGGATAACAAAAAAAAGAGTAAAAACGCCGATGTAATGGCGAAGCACCGAAAACGAGGGCAATTTTTTACGCATCGCTTCTAACCGACACTGAAATAAAGCCAACAAAGGGTTTTGGTTGCAAAGGATTATAGTGAAAATGGAGATTTACATTAAGAGAGGTTTTTTTCGAAAATCTGTCACAATTGCGACAAGACAAAAGCTTGGAGCAGGATTACTGAAGCTCGTTCTGGATGTCAACGCCTAATTGTGCTTATCTGCATGAAAAAAAAAAAGTTTCTTCATTTGTGCTCTATGTCCTGAGTAAGCTATTGCACGCGTCGTTACCCTTTGACAAGAACATGACAGGGAATGCGAAAAGTCTTAGTGCTTAGAGTTAACACAACAACTGTACATTTACTAGACCGGCTTGTTGCAACCTTGCTCTTCATATACCTCCAACAAAAATTGACGATCAAAGTTTCATACAAATATACGATTCAGCCGGAATGGATTCCGTGCATGTAGTGGAAATGGCGTTCGACGGCGTGAGCGATTCAACACTGAAACCTAGCTCGGTGTTGATAACAAGCTTTTCAATGGAAATGAATTCTAAGGGCAAAATTGGCACGTACGGATTCTATGTACCACCTCCATTTTAGGCCATAATGCGTTCGTCGAACGGCAATAATGTTTCATGATAGTTGCGTTGCAGGTCTGAGTCCTACTGAACACTAACCTCACACACTACGCTCTGCAGAGAGACAACAACTAATTGCGCGTCTTCGTAAAAACTCCCGAAGTCGTTTGCTGGAGGAAGTGACCTATCTACAAATTGGTGTGGGAAATACAGAGTGAAAGGCAAGATTGTACATCTGTACAATCTTCTATAGTATAATATTATATAACTATAGAACTTTGATCAAGCTTGCTAAGTCGAGAGCTAATATACAGGACTTGAGAAGTTTAGAATCGACCAATGGATCTCTGCGCTTCACGGTCATAAATGCGGCATTTTAGCGGGATACCCAGCAGCAGAAGTCGAATGATTTAACGAGCGATTCAAAAATTAAATCAGGCTGATCAAATAAGTTTCTCTATAATACACGATTCTCTTTTCGAAATATGTCTGCAAATGTAACAGAACGTTAATTTGCAAGGACGTAGAAACGTTTCCTGGTTTGTAAAATTCACTGGCAAACTGTGATAAGTCCGCCCCGCGTATGTATTTTCGTACTTTTTCAACCAATTAGCAAACTGTATTTATGTACCTTTATCGAACGTTGTCAAAAATTTCATAAAAGCTACATAAATACACACAATATTTTAATAACAGCGAGGTTATGTAAAATTGCTGAACACATTTTGCGTCATATGGGCCTTCTTGAACCATGATGATAGATTTTCCAAACGTCCTAGAAATGGTGCGAAGGTGCAATAAGCGGATATCTATCAGGCTTATAGAGGCCTGCCTTCTTACAGAATCTATAGCGGAGCTCACGCATGGCGACATGTTTATTTAACTATTTTGTCTCTTTCCATTCGCTGTCCTTCATCGCACTCGAAGCAGAAAAATCTCGATCAATCTCCGTAAGTTTTTGCTCCCAATTCCTAAAACGCGTAAACGTTGAACGCCTCTGTTGCTGGGACGATCTTGGATCATCGTGTGTAGTCTCCCTGCTCTTCTCAAAAAGGAAGCTCTAACGCTATTTAATTATTCAAAGTTTTCTTGTGTAAAATTTTCCAAACGACGCATATCCCATACGCTGTGGCAGAAGCTGCTTTGAGATTTAAAACACTTATAGGGACAAACGTCGCCAGCACTGCTATTCAACATTTTATAGTACTGCGTGCATTGAAACTTTTGCCATTCGTAAAGAACAGCCGCTTCAAGCATGAAAACCGGTTTACCCAGGCGAGAGACAACGCACGAAAGTGTCAGTGGGCGTTATCCTGCTGCCTCTTCGCATCGCACAGCATCGTCTCCGTCTTGGCCAGGTTTACGGTCAGTCCTAGATTTGTGGTTACCGCGTGAAGTCGGGCGAGAGCTTACTGCGCTTGGAACCTGTTCAACCGCTATATTACTAAGTGGTTTGTATACAAGATTACTTTGATTGGTGTCCTCGGCCCTCTTATTTGGTTAGAAAAGCCCTTCAGCGAGATAGAAAATAGGAGTGAGTTCAGGTTGTCCTCCCGACCAGGTCAGTTGATTCTGTGAAAGGCGGGAGGTCGGCCACTTTGTCGTCAATGATTGTTCTAGTTTTCTGTAGAATCGCAGCGAGAAAGTTAAACACTTTTATAAAGACACCCACCTTGGTCATCGTGAGCATAATTTTGCCACTGAACGCCGTGTCAAAGGCTTACTTGAAGTTGATGGACATCGCGTATAACGGATTGCGCTATCGAGACTAGCAGTCTTTTGAAATCGGTCATTAGGATCCTGCAGACCGCTTGTGTCGAGCTTTCTCCCCAGAACCCATAATGTTCTACTGGAATGGCGCGTTCTTTTTCTAAGTAGTTGTTCACTCTATTAGTCAGCAAGATAAAGAGTAACTTTTCTTCGTTTTTTCCCGCTATGATAACAGCATGATTGAGTCTTTTTCTTCTTTTATGGGTTAGCGGGGGTGTGCCGTCCACCACGAAGCCAGAACAAAGGCGTATTTGGGATGTTCGTTGCAGACCCTGTCTGAACCGGCGGCTTCCTTATTACGTAGACCCCGAAAACCTAGAGCGTGCGTATTTTTTATGTGTGCTTGTATGCCTGTAAGTGGATGTCTGTGTACATGTGTTTATGTGAATGATACTGATCTGTTTCGTTATTCTTCCGTCCGATGATGTGCCGCCTCATTAATATATTACTATGAAAAAAGGATCGACGCTTCGGGGTGTTTTAGAAAGCAGCTATCCGATATGACGGACACGGACCCTCGAATAGGGGAAAAGTCAGACAGGCCCGTACTCATGCCACCGCTGCTTCTAACGCTAAAGCGAGTGCTACTTGTTTTTCGCCATTGAGAGGTACCTAGAGCCTTATTGTCTACCGAGACCAGGTATAACTCCCATTCGCCCTTTTCGAGCCACCTTCAAGGGCTGCGATGGAAAGCGCAGCTTTGACTGCGACGCCCCGTTTCAACTGAAGGAAAAGCTTGACTTTGACGTGCAGAAAGAGACCTTTCATGTTTCTAGCGGAGTCCTTGGGTCTAGCAAACAGCAGCTATCTACAAAAAAGCTGGAACGGACAATGATAAGGAATAGGACGATATCGAGGCTAGTTAATGCTTCATCCTGGATAGCCGACTACTTCAAGTTCATCAAACTGATCTTTCTTTGATTCCAATAATTTAAAAGTTCCTAACAGGGAGGAATACAAGGATGGATGACATACTTCTAGATAAATAGAATCCTAATTTTGATATTACGTACGTTCTAACTATAAGGAAGTCGTTGTACCAACAGTACGTCAAAAACGCACAACAGGATGACCGATTCATGTGAAAATGCCCCTTAAAAGACAATCCGTCTATTGAGTTGAAGCGCGATTGACTAATGTACCGTCTGCTGATACCACTTTAGTTT